AACAAAACCCCAGCTCCTCAGAAAATGCCACCAATATGCAGTAAGCTCCTGCAAAAGACTCGAGGGATAACGGCAGGCATGCCCTGCAATTGTGGTGCTCAAAATCTCACCCAAGTTCTGAGATCATTTTTCAAACGTTCCCAGCCATAAATATACCCTAAGGTCCTCTGTGCCCTTAGCCCCTTGAGCACAGCCTTCGACTCAGGCTTCCGTTTTTCTTTCTGTCCTGCCCGCTTGGAACTCGCATGTGGGCCTCTGCTTTTCTACTTCATGCCTTTCACCGTTCCATGCCACACACTAAATATTCAGCGATACTTGTCGCGTTGCCAGACTGACACCTAGACCACCCTCCTAGGCTTTCTGGATTATGGTCCACAGTCTGCTTTGCACAAGCGTGGCTGCAAACCTTGAAAGCCGTAACTTAGAGGCAAATAACTGGAAGTAGGGAAAGTTTTCAGTGAAAACATTTCCAATAATGTGGGCCTGGAAAACACTGAAGGTGCGTTTCCATGGTAACAGTGTTTTCATAACGGTGACTGCGTTCTCTAAGGAAAAGTCCAATCATATGTATTTTTTTGCTCTTTGTTTAAAGTAGTAGTGAACTGTATAATCATATTAAGTGTTTTAAAGAGGGCAACTGTTGGTTATCTGGAAAAAAATGTGTATAAATCTGTAGGATATTGTCCTGTGTTCTCCACTGTCGAGAAAAGATGCAGTGAGTATTTCTAAGTACACATTACTACTTAGATACTTTTAATACCCACTATTCCACTTCTCAAGGGCTGATCTCAACATTACTCTCTGCATGGTTCTAGTGGTCCTCAATCTTATGACATAATTTAGAAATTTTTCAAAAGAAAATAAAAAAGACATGAAAATTAGGTGTTCCAGTCAAGCTTTCAGAGTTCTACATAATGGAGCCTTTAAGATTTAATGAAAATTATCCCCATTTAATATTTCACTCCCTCCCCTGTTAAAGTAGTATACTTTGCAACTTCTATACTAAAAACTGGGGGCCACCGAGGTGGCTGGGGGTAAAAGTGCTTCCCACCAAGCCAGGCAGCCCAGGATCAATCACTGGGACCCACACAGTGGAAGAGGCGGCTGGGCTCCTGAAAGATACCCACACACTGTCCCTAAGCTACGTAAAGATATGGCATTATTTCTTCAGATAAACTTTTGTTTATAAAAAAAGACTTTCTTAAATACTATGTGACTAACTTATATAAAAAAGTTATTTCAATTTTATAAATTTCATATTTGTAAGATTGTTTTCATTGCTGTAGTTAGAGTTCTCAAAAGTTATTTAGAAAAAAAAAACACGCAGCAAGACGGTCGACCCGTTGCATTTTCCAGGAAAGGTTTCCTACGGTATTTCTCCACATTTTGTAAACAGCATCAGTGAACCTGCACATAAAAGGTTAAATGTTTGCAGACCACTCTGGTTTTGCCCCAAAGATCAGAGACAAATTACTATTTTTATTTTACATTCCCTTGATGAGGCTAATGACAAGCAGCTGTCACTTCAGTGCTCCGACTGCAAAGAATCCAATTGCAATCCTATAATTTAAACAAAGAAAAAATACAAACTCATACACAGCACACAGCCAGAAAGAGGCGAGAGGTTTTGAGCTGGGGTCGGGGTAGAGAAAAGGAACATTCGCTTGCTGCAAGTGCTCTCGGTTTAAAATAAATAAATAAATAAATAAAATCCCACCTACAGACTCTTTCCCGCTCACCTGGGACACAATAGAGAGGCCCGTTCCTGCTTCAGTGTGAAGTCAACATCAATCTGCGTTCTGGATTTCATGATTTCTCTAATGTGTCCATTGTGTTCCCAGAGTAGCTAGGATTTGTGTGAGGCCACAAGTCTACTAGATTCCCAAAAGCTGAGTAGAATGTCAGATTACCTCATTGGCTGTTTGGGAATTTCTTTAACGTTTAATGTTCAGAATTTGACCTTTTTTTAGAAAAAAAATTTCATGTATTATTTGTCATTGGAATCAATAGATTCCAGGATGTTCTTGTTCAGGTTTATCATGTGCGTTGGCCATGTAGACTCCCTGACTCCTCTGCTATTTCCTAGTTTTCTTCTGTCCCTCTCACTCAGTAGCCCCCCCCCCCCGTATTTGTGTGTGTGTGTGTGGATGGGTGTTTAATTTTTTTTTGAGGAAACCCCATCCTGATTTGCATCGTGGCAGAGCAATGTGCAAGGGTCCAGCAAAGTCTATTGTGGGTTTTGGTTTTGCTGTAGGAACAAGCATTCTCACAGGGTAATATGTTATCTCAGTGTAGGTTCACCTTTCTTTGGTGGCTAAGGAACTTTTTCATAGGTCTTGGCCACTTGTACTAGTAGTTTTAGAAGTTTCATTGTTTTAGAAGTATCTTGTTCATTTGTCCGTTTGTTGACTGGAGGATTTGGGGCATTTTAGCATTTGAGTTCCTTAGCTCTTTATAGATTCTAGATATCAGTCTCTTGTCAGATGTGTAGCTGGTAAAGACTGTCTTCTATTTCGTAGGCTGTGGCTTTCCTTCCCTCCTCTGCAGAAGCTCCTTTGTGTCACACACTCCCACTTGCCAACTCTTGGTTTTATTCCGTGCGCCTTTGGGGTCCTCTTCAGAGTCCTAGCCTATGCCTCTGTCCTGGGATGTTTTCTCCCCTAGCCCCGTGTCTGCTGTCCATTCTGATACTTTCATTATTGCTTAGGATTTCATAACGTACAAAAGCAAACGTAAAGCAAAGTAAACTGTTCATTAAGTGTAGTGTGGAATAGGGAGGTTCCGCATTTCTATATGAAATCACATAATGTAGTTTTGTTCCTAGAGGTTCAATGTGTCTTGTCCATTCAAGCTTTCCTTTTTCAGTCAATCATTTGGTTCGAGAATCTCAGTATTTTAATGACATTTTCCTACAAATTTTTAAATTCTGTATTATTTTATGTATAAAACTGGATTGATATAATAGTTATTTTATACTTCCTGCTTTTGAAATCTAACTCATTTTACATTAGTTGGATGGATGTCAGAGCTTCTAGCTCTATCATGCTCCTCTGTGAGGGCCAATAGCCTTGGTGCCCAGCGCCTAGCACTGAGGGGAAGCTCTTCTGCACAGAGTGTTTATAATGGGGTTTAAAACACAATGAATGCTGGAAGTAGGCTCCTGGGGAGGGACCAGGTTGACAATGAAACATTATCACTCCCATTGTTTCCATGAATCTTGTAGGCCAGAGAAACAAACTGGATTGTACTGTCATCTTGCGGAGCCTTACGTTACTTTACATAGGAAACTTCTCCTCCACAAAAGCCTAGGTTCTGTGCATTAGGGCATCTTTGTTGACTTAGGTACACCCATACACGGAGCTCTGTGCGAAGGATAGAGAACTACGATCTGAGACTCTAGTGGGGGGAGCACAGAGAGGAGGATGGCAGATAGTGTAAGCACGTGCGGACGTGAGTTCAGAGGAAGGAGCAGAGCAGGATCTGAGGGCGGCAGGAGCTTGCTGAAGAGGTAGTGGTGGAGCAGATAGGAAGTACAAGGGGAATTTGCACAAGGCTTGCTAGGAAGAGAGGGCTTCCGGGAAGGGGGCTTCTGCGGATAACAGAGAGGTGTGTGCAGTTGTAGCAGTAGTTAAGCTTTTATAGGTAAGGTTTTAACTAGACATGTTTTAGACTCTTTTCATCTAATATATTAGTTTGTCACAAACTTGTTATTTAAAAAAAATAACTATTACACCGATTTAATTCTTTCATGACCCGATACCACTTTTAAGAAAAATGGACCAGCAGTATCCCAGCTACCCCCGAAATCCTCTTCTTCTGTTAGCCCACATCAAAGGATGGGGTCACAACCTCAGAGCAGAAAAGGACCACTAATTTTCAGAGCAAGCATATGATATTTTAACATTTTCAAAGAGATACTTCTGATAAAGAAATTATTATTGATACTTTTGTAGCCTAAAAATTTGAGTTTCATACATGTATATCACATGAGAAAAGACCTGTCATTTATAGATCCAGTTATTGAGTACAGTTCTTTGGCCTGGAGCTGATTGAAAACCTGGCAGATCAAAGTCCATACATTTCCAAAGAAAAGTACTCCAAGCCAATGTTAGAAGCAATAAATTATCACCCCCCCCCTTTACATTCATAATTAAATCTTTCCAAATATGAGAACGTAGCCAGACCGCTAACAATATCTGTATGATGTTTTGAGGTTTAGATGGTTCGACCTGAATTGAAATGGAGACCATTTGTTCTAAATTGATTTCAATGCCGAGGCAATAGGTCAGCTCTTAATGATGAAGATGCCATTCCAGCCCAGCCTCTGGGTGGATAAGCCAAAATTAATTAACTCAAGTCGGAGAGTATAGAAAACAGATGCTTTGCTCATGTTGCACAAATAAATTCTTTGTGTATGAAAGGGTTCTGCTTTATTCAAAGAATAACACATTGGAAGTCAAAATGGCTGGTTTTCCACAATGGAGCCAGCCCTCCGCAGTGGTGACAGCAGAGGCAAGCATTTACACAGCAAATTCCAGCAAGTGCATGAAAGAATCAATTATCTTCCAGATCTCAAATTTGGACTCCTGGCCAGTCCTAGGGGACTGAGGTTTGAATCTGGGCTGATCCAATTCAGAGCAAAGCCAGCAGAGCCAGAGCTACATCAAGGTTATCCTAACCAATAGTATCCCTGGAGGCTGCTCCCAGAGGCTTGCATCTGCATCGGCTGTTTGGACTCAGGCCTCTGGCAGCTTGCCAAGGGCTTAAGCATAGGTCGTTCTCCCAAGGTATCTCGTTAGGTGCGCTGTTTATTTGGTTATTCATCTCAACGTTCATTCAGCATCAGAATGTTTGCTTTTGCTAGAACACGGTGAGTTCAAAGCAGAGTGATAACCGTGAGGTTCTGACTGATTTGAGCAGAAATCCATCATTTGATGTTTGGTATTGTTTTCATTCTGAGAGAATATGAGAGAATCCACATTTTGTCCCCCTTCTGTTAGAATGAAAATGACGAAAATGGCCAAGCGGAAAACTTCTCCATGGATCCGCAGCTGGAGAGGCAAGTGGAGACCATCCGCAACCTCGTGGACTCCTACATGTCCATCATCAACAAGTGCATCCGAGACCTAATTCCAAAAACAATAATGCATCTTATGATCAATAATGTAAGTGACTCAAACTCTCCCCTTTGAAATCTCAACCCTTTCCCCGTCGGGAAATGGATCACCTTTTCTTGAGTGTCTCTGTGATATTTTCTGCATAACCAAGGCATTTACTGCCCAGGTGTGTGGTTCTGCCGCTCTAAGTGGGTAATGGATGAGAGAGAACACAGAGGAAACTTCCAGCCACAGCGCCAAGTTCCTTCTAATTGGCTCTCTTCTAGAAAAGAGCAAAGAATACCATATTCATGGACTTGCAAAGTAAGCAATGAGATCAGAGATCCACACTCGTCCTTGAGATTGAAAGTCAGAGATAATGCTTTAATACTTTTTCACACGCAGAGAGAATGTACAACAATATGATCATTTTTGTCACCTGAAGACTATGGAATGTTCTTTTCACCTAGGAAAGGACTTATTACTTATTTCCTAACTGTGCAGTCAGATATACTGGGTTTTTTTTTGTTTGTTTGTTTGTTTTGTTTTGTTTTTATCATTTTTTGAAACAGGGTTTCCCTCTGTAGGCCAGGCTGACCTGGAACTCAGGGGACCCTTCCTGCCTTAGCCTCCTAAGTGCTGCCATTCCAAGTGTGAACCACTGTGCCCAGTTCAGCTTGGCTGTCTAAGGTAAGGGTGCTATAACCACCAATCTTTCAGAGATTGTAGCCGTTCGTTTTGTCTGGGCCTCTCCTTCTTTGGTTGGTGGCAGTCTGGATGTGGTACTTATCCTGTGCAGTCTGGCTTTGTTCTTTTGGTAGTTTGCTTTTCAAGGTACAAATGACAAAACAGTTAATAGAGAAAATACCCTTTTCTGAATCTTGTTAAATAGGACACCAAGCACTTTCTGTATCTTCACTTTCTGTATCTACATAAATGCCTATGTATTTTGTTTTAAATATATTAAGAATGTGGCTTGTGAGAAGTAAAAAAATCAGATTGCAAAGCTGAAAGAGCCCTAAACTGGAATTCAGGAGAAACCTGAGCACTAAGCCTGGTTCTTGGGCTCTTGACCTAAGGGTTTGTGTCTTCCTTAAGGATTTGTTCCAAAAGGATAGGTAAGCCAAGGTGCTGTGGCAAATGTAAGCAAATATTATGGCTGTTTATTTAAGCACTTTTAAATCTCAAAACACAGAGAATTATTGTTTCTAAACTTCTTCATGACCGGCTTGTCTATAACCTCTAGTTGTGTATGCCTTGATTTTAAGAAGCCCTGAGCACTCAGGCGGCCAACCTTATATTTGACTATATTTGTGTATCCAAGTAAGAGAAACAGGATACTTTGAAGTCTACGCAGCAGGTAAGCAATGAGCTGGAAAAGGAGAAACTATAAATATCACCATGGCTGCTCAGGGGTCAGCCGTCTGACCTGAAGTCCAGCTTTTCAGCCCCACTGAGCTGAAGTCAGTCACTCCTGGAACTTCAGTGGGAAAGTGAAGGGACCTCACAGAACCATCAGACAGTGTGACAGATGTGGCTGCTAGCTATTTAGACAAATCTGAAGTCCTGAACAAATAGTCTGTGTGTCTTGAAAGTTGCCCTCTTCACTTTGCGTAAATGAATTCAGGTTGTTTTGCTGTGGTATATCAGGCACTTGCTTATTTAAACATTTTCCTGATTAGGGATCATTTATCTTTCCACTGTGTGTTAGCAAGAGTCATTAGTCCTGCCTTCGGCTCCAGCTCGCTTTGCTCTGCGTTATATTAAGTCATCAGCACCGGAAATCATACTTCCTGCCTGTGGCTCCAAGTAGTAGCTTGACACAAATTAGTTAAAAGGAAGAAAAAAAAATCCTACTGCAAATCTATTCTACTTTCACCTCAAACATTAAATGAAAACATACAACGCACATCCACACGGGTAATTGTAGCTTCCCCAGCTCCTCGTTGCTGAATTTGCTTACTTTAATGGAATACCCAAACACCCACCTACAGATATTGTTCTTGGAGTGAAAGCTCTGCCAGTTATCTCGAGAGGGACCTCACATAAGAGTCATGGGAAAGGAGACTTCAATTAAGACCTGAATTCCAAGGTCAGAGACTAATAGGAGTGTGGAGGAAACCAGCTATCAGGACGTGCGGCACTCTTAGGAAGTGATGGCGGTCTCTGCTCGACATTTAGCCTTTGCATCTATGAGAATCGAGTGGCAGGCGACGACTTTCCTTGAATATTATTATCGTGCCTCTATTTTTCCGATGGATAAAAACATTTTGTATCCATATTTCTAAATTATATCTTTTTCAAATAGAGAATGAAATCTTCTTCAAACAATGTACTTACATTCTCATGGCATCTCAATGCCCAAGGCTTTCTGTTCATTCCAGATGTATCCTGTTAAGCACAAAGAAACAGACCCAATAAATCAACTGTCCTATACCATGCAGGGAAGCTGGGCTTTTTAAATTCAGTGTGAATTGATGAAATGAGAGAATTGGTAATAGAACCGCAACTAAGAAAAGTAGTCTGAATTCTACCTATTCTGTGAACTGATATTCCATCAGAATGAATAAATGCTGAAGATGGGCTCTCTCTGTCTTCCTAGCCCATGGCCTTTCACCCTGGAAGCGGGAATGGCTGTCTGGCCTCCTGAAAAAGAATATGTTTCAGCCAGCTTTCATAAAGCTCAGGATTCAGTGGGCAGTTTCCTTTGAAAGTTTACATTAAGTGTTCTGCCACTCCGCTCTCCATATGGAATTGTTTAAGAAGTTTAAAGCCAGGCAATAAATGCCTGGCCTCAGACATACTGTAAGCCTTTGTCTATTGAAACCCAGCAGCTGTTTCATTACTTAAACATACCAGGTAACAGCGGCACAAAGGAACAGCGAGTTTATGACAGGCGGCCATGAGTTAAAGTCACAGCAGCAAAGTTGCGTGGGACTTTAAGACTAGCGCACATAAGGGCCCATGATGATGGCGTCGCCTCCGTAGCTCACCCCTCCAGGAGTGCTCCAGCACAGAATGTGGGAATCCAGCTTGATTCTAAAACATGCATGGCAGGTTTTATTTTTGTTTGAACCCCAGGGACATTTGTTCTCTTCCACATCTTATACATGGAAAACTGAGGCACAGAAAGGTTAAGCGCCTTGCCCAGGATTGCACAGTTCAGTCTGATGCTGTCTCTAATCCAGCAGCAAAGAAGATACAAGGGGCCGGGGTGCATCTCTAAGTCAGTCCTGCTCAGAGAGCTCCTGCCCCCACCCAGTATCCCCACAGGATGATCTCCCTGGGCAGTTCCCAGGACTCAAAGATTTAATTAGTGTTCATTTGCACATGAGAAACAATGCCTTAAACCTTAAAACACTGTCTCTCATCCAAACAGACTCACAGAATACACAGTGGAATGTAAAAGTTCGTATGAATTTTTTAAAAACAGAACACTGAAGTCGTGAAACCCAGAGGCAGGCACTTCACACTCGGAAGGGTGCTGCCAAGGCCCCAGGGCCCCTGCAGCTCCACCGTGACCCTCCTAGTCATCCACTCTTTGGTGGAAAAGTAGGTGCCCTAGTTTCAAAACATGCCCTTAACACCAAACCATTGTTCTAGCGTTCAGACCATGATCCGTGTGGGGAAGCTAAACCCAGCAGCTGCCCCTTCCCCACCAAAACGTTCACAAGAGGCTCTCCGGACCTTCAGACCCTACCAAGGAACACTTAACTCTTCCTTATATTTTGCCCGTCTCCAAACTTTGGATCTCTCAGCATGTACATCTTTCTGGCCTCCTTTGCCCAGCATTTTGAATCCATAGAGGTTGTATTTTGTAGAAGAAAAATGACAGAACCAAATCCACAGGGCGGGGGCAGGGGGAGCAGAAGGAAGGGAGGTGGGTGGGTGATGACCTGGGTGGCACATCCCCAGATGAACAAAGTGAAATTACTCAGTGAAAAATTTTATACACGTGAGTGAGCCACAACGCCCTGCTTCATGCAGAGACTACCCTGTAGAGACAGGATTTCAGTGAAACTGTCTCCCAGGCAACCCAACTGTCTCCTGGTGAAAGTGTTAAGATGGCTCAGTCATAACAAAGGAAGTTTAAGATAAAGAGCCAAACATCTTCAGGGGACTAGGGAAGGGTTAAAAGTTAGGAGGAAAACATGTGGAACGTTTTTAATGACCTCACATTCCTTTACAGTGAGCGCTGGGACATGGTGTGGTAATGCCTGTTTATTTAGCCTGCAGAGTTTGAGCTGGAAAGGGATTTTGTGTGTGAGAATTTTTGTGAGCCACACAAAGATGTATAGGTTATAAGGTGTTATAATTAAAAGCATAAATATTGCTCCAAATATCCCGTCCAAGTATAATTGGTCTGTTCTGTTCGCTGAGGTATTTTCCAAATGCTATTATATAAGGAAAATCTACTGAGTTTATAATTGCATTGCAGAATCCTTGATTTAAATATTTGACACCCAGATGGCTCAGAAAACTCCTAAAGTATCTGGAAACACACCCCCATGCAATGTTCCCACCCTCATCAACTGGAGTTGTTGTTCCAAAATCTAGTTGTAGCATTGAAAGGTAAGGATAGGCTAGGCTACCTAGAAGACAGCCTAAACCTTTCCTTACATCGCCCCCAAAAAAGAATGTTAACCAATTCTGGGTCTTTAAGCATTTCTTGACAAATGAAGACATGATGGCCAGCGGGTAAGCTTCAGTGTATAGTATCAGGGCTCATTATTTCATTCCGCAATTGAACTGTTGATTCAGACTTCAGATCTGCTTAGGAACTATTTTTGGAACATGGTTTAAAATTGTATTTAATAGGACCTAAGTGGTATTCAAGCAAAATGTAAATCTTCAAAAGAGCTCAACCCCACTGATCATTGAGGCCAGGGAAATCATCTGGTTTTGAGTTTTAAGTTGCACCTCTTATCCAAGTGTGCGCACAAACACCCCACCATGAAGGTCTGTACAAATGTCTCTGCCTCCATGGACACCTGCATGTGTGCTTAGAAAGGAATAAACCTTTAAAGACCATGAAATATTCCCAAGGCCAAATTGTCTCCCTTCCTTTAAAATCTGACTTTCTTTTTGGCCACTTGAGTGTCAGTTATCCAGGCCAGAGCCACCTGCCACCTGCTATTACCTCCCTTGCTCTTCTCATGCAGACACCGCCAGATGGCTTTTCCTTTGTAATGTTGTTCACAGGTTCCCATCTTTTCCATTCTGTGGCACCGATCATCATTCCATGAATTAAACCATAGCCTCCAATTGGGTCTATCTCTACTACTAAGCTTGCAATTTTTTTCAATTAAAACCAGCTTGATTTTTCTAATAATTTATTTCACTTACTTGTCAAAAGCCTTGCATGGTCTCATACTGCCAAATGGATAAAGTTTAAACACTTTTCATTAGTACCAGAGATCTTATATTTTGCCCTAGATTTACTGGTCAAATTTACTTTTTATACCTGCTCGACAGTTTCCTGAACAGTGTGCATTACATCTCTAAAATGTTTGATTCACTCTTGGTTTATAGGGAACTCTGTTGATTTCCCTACAATAAGACAATCTTGAAGGCTCATCAACACATATTCTGGGTCAGTCTGTCTTTGCAAATCCCCAGACTGCTCAGAAACTCTGTGGGATTGACCCCACAGAGCTACACGCAACTCCAGCTCTCTGTGATCTTAATCTTGGACCAGAACTGGAAGTTATATTCACAGTAATTGACTATACTAACATCTAAGAGTTATATACCAGCTAAACTGGACTGCCCTCCTTCCAATGGTATGAACTACATACCCAACTGCTACATAAAAAAGAACACAGGAAGACATTCCGTCCTCTTAACCCACGTGACCCATTGACTTCAACTGTAGGAGCTAACCTGCCTGCAGCCCTGCGCTTTTGCCCTCTTCCAGTGCCCTCAATTTAAAAAACAATCCATTAAAAAACATGAAACTGCGCTTTAGATTGAATAATAATCTTAACTACAATCCAGGAATCTTAACTGAGCACCTGATAGGTGTCCTGTCATCATTCTGAATTTTAAACAAAAATGTTTTGGCATAAAGTCCAGATATAAGTAATCCAGATAAAATATAGCTTTCTCAAATAACAGAAGAACTGGAAACTTTAAATTGGCTTATTTTTTCTTAGTTTAAGTTAATTATCATACTTGCTAGCTGCTCTAAACTATGAACATAAAGCTGGTTGTATAGATCAATGGTGGAGTCTACACTTACACGAAAGGCCCTGGATGACCAACATGATAAGAAGATAAAAGAAAGAGCCAGGCAATGGTGGCACATGCCTTTAATCCCAGCACAGAGAAGGCAGACAGATCTCTGAGGTTAAGACCAGCGTGGTCGACAGAGCAAATTCCAGGACAGCCAAGGCTACACACACACACACACACACACACACACACACACACACACACACAAAAGAACCTCTCTTGAAAAACAAATAAACAAAATGAAGACAAAGAAATATAAATTGTCTTTTCTAGGCATTTAAACCTCATGATATATGTTGTCAGGAATTTGGTTAGAAGATTTTAGGCTGAACTTACAGCTGTATGACCTTGGAAAAGTCACTGAAATATTTCCTATGTTTGTTTCTGCACCTGTGAAGTTTTATTTAATCATTACGCAGTGAATTAAGTCATAGAACCTTTAAAGGAATTTGGAAAATGTATTTCATTAATTTGCACATTCATTCTCTCATATTTAGTATGGACATGCATTTATATTCAATGATATCGGGACATTTTATCATAGGTCAGCTGATATAGCCTCCTTCCTGTCATATAAAGTGGATGGCTGATGCTTAGATCTGATAACACATGGGGACTGGGCCTCTTTCCTTCTCTGTTATATACCCTTTCTATTCCCATCCTGCTACAAGTTATTGCTCAACTAAGGCTTATGTGCTTGTTTATGTATCTGTTGCATCGATGAAGCCTCATGTCCAGTCCTCTGGATAGTTAACTGACTTTTCTTGTAAACTTCTAGAAAACACAATGTGTCCTTTTTACTTTCCTGAAAATCAGCTTACATTATAAGTATATATACACACACATAATGTGTATATATATAACTGCATTATGTAAATATATGCAACTATAATCAGTATTTAATATCCACTTATATGTACTAATTTTGCTTTTTACCATATCCTGAAAACTTCAATAATGTTTGATTATTTTGGTTAAAAAAATCTAGCTAAAGGATTAGGGCTGCTACGGAGTAGAAAACTTGTTGAACTACAAAGCTTACTTTGCAACATCTATTGAAAGTAATGCTGCTCATCTCATGGGACCTTCCTGTTGCATAAGTCTAATGGCTTCTAACAGCCTCACGAGACCTTCCCACAGCTAACGAGCCCTGCTCTTGTGGTAGCAAGGTTTGTCCTTTCTTCAGCTCTCATGCCATCATTGTTTTGAAAGTCCAAAGGCAGAGGGGAAACTTTTCTGTGCACCAATGCAGAGGCAAATAAGATAGTTGTATGCCGTTTCCCTTTTCTCCACATTCCTGGGCTATAGCCACAGAGTCTGTGTCTGTTCCTTCTCATTTTAATCTTTCTTACAGGTTAAAGACTTCATCAACTCTGAGCTCCTAGCACAGCTCTATTCTTCTGAGGACCAGAACACTCTGATGGAGGAGTCTGCTGAGCAGGCTCAGCGCCGGGATGAGATGCTCCGAATGTACCAAGCCCTGAAAGAAGCCCTTGTGATTATTGGTGACATCAGTACAGCCACTGTGTCAACCCCAGCCCCACCTCCAGTAGATGACTCCTGGCTCCAGCATTCCCGCAGGTAGGGAGGAAGCTCCATGGCACCTGAGTTCTACTGGCCGTGTCCACTCTGTTTCTAAGGACACAGACCCTAAAGGAAAAAGGGAAAAGTTCAGCAGGGGTCAAAGTGTGCCAGCTCCTTTAATGAACAAGTTTAATGAATCCTTACAATGAAACTTGATATTTTTTTTTCTTGCTGTAAAAAGATACCATGATCATGGCAACTCTTATAAAGGAAACCATTTCACTGAGGTGGCAGCTTACAGTTCAGAGATTCAGTCCATTATCATCATGGTGGGGAACATGGCAGTGTGCAGAAGACATGGTGCTGGCTACATCTTGATCATAAGGCAACAGAAAATGGTTGGTCTGCCACACTGAGGGAAGCTCTAGCAAAAGAGACCTCAAAGCCCACCCCCACAGTGACACACTTCCTCCAACAAGGCCATACCTCCTAATAGTGTAGTTTCACTCCCTTTGGCCATTTTCTTTCAAACCACCGCATGGTTATTAAAAGAGTAAAATAGTGCTGAGTTTCCCCAGATGAAAAGATAAGAGTGTGGATTATGATATATATCATATAGATATATATATATATGAGAAAATATTCACATACCTATATGTTTAAAAGAAACGCCAGCAACTGCTATTGATTGTTTCCAGAAAGTGGGGAAGTAAACCAAAATCTCAGCATTTATCCTTTCATGTACATGGTCATCTTATAACACATATCAAAGTTTTATAGCCAAAAATAAATTAATTTTAAAAGGCAACCAGGAAATTACAAAACTGCTTTTTAAAATGTTAATTAAAAAAGAAAGACTGCACAATTGAAAACTTTGTCTCTTTTCTCAGGTCACCTCCTCCAAGTCCCACCACCCAGAGGCGACCAACTCTAAGTGCTCCCCTCACAAGGCCCACATCTGGCCGCGGACCAGCCCCTGCCATTCCTTCTCCAGGTCCCCACTCTGGGGCTCCTCCAGTCCCATTCCGCCCTGGCCCATTACCTCCTTTTCCTAGCAGCAGCGACTCCTTTGGAACCCCTCCTCAAGTCCCATCCAGACCTACGAGGGCGCCCCCCAGCGTTCCGAGGTAAGCCAACTGTGCTGCAGGCGCTCCCCAAGGTCCTCCCTGGTTCTCTTCTCAGTGTAACAGACATATTTATTTGAGAAACAAAACCAAACCAAAAAATTTTGCAAACATCTTACTGTACATATTAGTGATTTTCACACTGGCAGTTGGGGCAGTGAGCACAAGACAAATTCTGGTGCCTAAGCCTAGTGGAAGCCCTGTGTGTGATCATTGGAGCCTCTCATTTACCAGCTGGCACAGACTTGAATCTCTCATTTTTGAGACCAAAGCAAATGGGACCTGGTGAATGGTGTTTTACCAGCTGGGTAGTAGAGCCCAACCCAGGGCTTTGAAAGAAACAGCTGTGTGTAAGTCATGAGGTGCATGGACTAAGATCTTGACTTCTCCATTACCCAAAGCAATCTAGAAAAGCATTGACTCGAGGAACTTTATCCGTCTGCTCTTTGCACTATGACCCCAATATCACTAACTTTAATGTAAACTAAGAATAGTCTAGCCAATTGATCTACAGAGATTGTAATGTAGACCTACGGATTATGTATCAGATAGACGGCTGTGTAATTGAATAATTTTGACAACTCTAAGCAGATTTTCTGGTCTAGTTGTCAAACAATATAAACTAATCAGTAATGGAGCCTGAAACGTCCTGAGTTAAAGCTAGATTCTTACCTTCATCCATGCGGTCAATATACAGTCATTTCTGACATTTTCCAAGGACGTAGGTAATATGGAGTTTTACCCCCACAAAATCAAAAAATGTAAAGACAAAAGTGTCCCATGCATGAAGTTAAACATTGTAGATCAGAGAATTAGAATATTCACATGCCCCATTCAGCAAAACCTGAAGAGAGCTGTAACACACAGCCCTGCCCACCCACCCACGAAGCATCTTTATCACTGTGGCGCTTGTGTTTTGATCCTCAAGGCTTTAGTGGTAATGGACAGAGGAAAGAGATCCCCAAACTGCTAGACAAAAGGGTGTGCAAGAATAACTTAGCTTTGAAGCCGTAAGATCTGGGTGATGCATTCACCCCCAAGATAGAAGTTCCTCATCGAGGAAATAAAGAAAACGGTGGTATTACTGCTCAGATCTCAAGATGAGACAATACTAGTAGACTTCTGATTTGTCTGAAACTGAGCTAAATTTTAAGTAATATCTATTTTGCTCTCAATATAAGTGTTGTCCTAAAAGTTTCCCACATACCTTTGTATCTAAGGCTCAAGCATCCAATAAAATAGACTATTATTTATATTTTACACATAGATAATGGGGTGAAACAGCTTGCCCAGTGTCATTCCACCAGGCCTCAATCCCTAGCAGCCTGACTTGAGAGCCCAAGCTCAACCACCACAGTGGAGGCTGGTCCCCGGGGCGCTCAGAGCCTGACATTTCTGCTATCGTGGCTCTCCTGTGCATTGGAGGATGAGTAACAGCGTCCCTGGCCTCCAGTCACTGGCTGTCAGTTGTGACCACTGAAAATACAGACAGGCTGCTGTTCCTCAGGGAAGTAAACCCCTACTCTCCTTGTCAACCACTGCTCTGCAGTGTGCAGAATTTCCTTTCCACATCAAAAACATGCATTTCAACATTGAATGTTGCTACAAGCAAGATCGAGTTTATTGTTTTAGAAAACCTCAAATTGACTGGGAAAGTGTCTGCCGTCTGCTGCTGAGCCAGGATGGTATGGAGGCTGTGAGGGAAAGGGGGAGGGGAGGGGAGGGAAGGGGTGTGAGAGTGCGAAGGCAGAGTCCAGAGGGAGCCTTGAACTCTGCTGTTTTGTCTGTTTTGCTATGAGAAGGAGCCAGAAGGACCTGTGGCGGTGCAGCACTCGGGAATGAGTGTGCATGTCTTGCCTGCTCGCTTGACCGCTTTCCTTCTTGGTTTCCAACAAGCCAGCTTGCCAGTGCTCTTCAGAAAAATCAGCTTTCGGATGCTAAACTGATCTGCTAAGCAGGGTGGAGTTAGCTTTGGTATTTCTGAGCTTGCACGCAGGCAGAAGGGTGGGAGTCAGTAAGTCACGCTGAATTGCCAAGGAGGGGAGCCACCAGGTTTAAGAAGACCTCACTTGCTCATAGGGGAATTTGTAGGACAACAGTTGAGCTATTCAGAATTTTTAGAATGCTCTCAAGTTAAAGCCAGACTTAACTTGATCTGACTTTGTGTACTGCCCCAAATTTAAAACAGAAACGAAGAGTTTGAATTGAAAGAGGGAATGCTGGTTGTTTTGTGCTGAGCCCTCAAGATTGAGGGCCAGCAAAGCAGGCTGGGAGGGAATCCCTGTGGTGGGAGTCACCTGAGCAGAGCTGGAGGCCAGGCAGGGTCCCGACGCCTATTAAAGCCTTGCTTTAGATGGAAGATTCTGAACACACGCCTGTTTTTAATAAAAGCCAGAGCAGGAATCCTACCAAATGCAAGCCAGAAATGAGGTTTAAGATTTCAAAAAAAAAAAAGAAAGGAAGAAAGAAAGAGAAAGAAAGAAAAAAGAAAGAAAGGGGGGAGGGAGAAAATGAAGAAAGCTCTTATTGAAACCCCTTGCTCTACTGTCTATATATTATTCTCTTCCTTCCATAATTTGCTTCCATTTTCTCTAAAAAAAAAAAAAAAAAAGAAAGAAAGAAAGCCCCCTATCCATCATCTCCAGGAAAACAATGTTTAGCTTTTCGAGTAGAAAATCCAATCTCCCCACCCTCCCTACCTACAAAGTTCTTTGCTTTCTTAAGGGACCTTCTTCTTTTTCAACCAGAAACTTACAACAAGACAACACAGCACAAAAGGTCACCTTCTAGCTTCCTGTGGGCCTTTCATGTGAAAAAGACAATAACTGAATTTCTAGAGGCAAAATCTCAGCCACCCTACTATGTGCCTGGGCAGTTGTCCTTCTGATATTTTGAATGACTTATTTTCACCCTATTTCAAGGTCATCAAAGCCCTTGGCGTGGCTCAGGAACCTTGAATGCACTGTCTTTTTAACCAGAGTCTTTACTGGATATTTCCATTTTAGTACAAAGGGAGAGGCAGGGGCAAGGTGCTGGAGTCATTTTTGGCTCAGCTATGCTCAGCTTCTCCAGCAGGCTGTTCTGGTCTCTGTGTTTGGAGCCTTTTGGTGGGAGAGCAGGAAATGCTGCAAACTACACGCCTGTTGTAATCAATTCCACCCGAACTGGGGAGCATCATTGGGAGACTCACTAGCACGCATGCTTCTGTCATTGCTAAGCTGAGTATACGCACATCCGTGATCTTTGGGATGTTTTATTCATGGCTTGACTATCTCCATTCAAGCTCTCTGTTTGAAAATACACGCCAGCCAGGGCTCTATTTAGAAGGATGGGCTCAAGCAAAGAGCACCACCTCTTTGGAGTCCCACTTCTCTTCATTGCAGATCCCAGGCATCATCAGACACCAACGTCAGGCTTAGCATAGCTATTTTCAGTTACCGCTTCTTAAAATTAGTTAATTGGAGCTCGCAGCCTTTGACATTAAGAGAACTAATGAGCTGAATCGGAGTGTGTGTTTCCTGGCAACGGCGAACCCTGGCCCGGTTTCCCTTGTCATCTCCCCTTCCCTTGGACCAAGCTACAGACAAAGCTGTTTTGCAGTGGTCAAAGGAGAGAAGGGGAGGGGAGGGGCCTGTAGCCAAGGATAAAGAGACTTCATTTACCTCATCACTCAATCTTCCACTTTAAAAAAAAAAAGTTGAACTAGAGAAACCCTTTCTTTGACCCACCCTCATTCACCATCCCTGATGGCTTCTTTTTCAAAATGGCCCAGCCTGGTTTCTATTTGGTTTTTACTTCAGCTCACCTAGGTGACAGAAATCAAGAAATGGTCCTTTGGGAATTCCCAAAGTGAAGACGAAGTAAAGCCCCCATAGTGTGTGGGCAGCCGTCAGGGCAGCATCAAGACTTGACCAGAGGTTCTCACTGGTGTCTTCTATGATTTCCTGACTTAAGATAGCACACAGGGAAGCCCCACATCTCAGCATCCTCATGACTAAGCCAGCTATGCGGAAAGATGTATAAATCTCTTTCCAAAGACATCACAGATACCCTCATATTGCAGAAGTTAAGGCCAACTGGCTTTCATCGTAATTTAGTTTTCAATGTTTGATCTCTGTGGCCTGCCTTGTCTAACCCTAATCCCAACTCTTCCATTCCATTGGCTGTTCATTTCAGTTAATACAACATCCCTTTTACTTGGGGGTTTCATTAGCCAGTCCCCTGAACTTCAGGACAAACCACAAACCCGTCATTCTTATATCTTTGCATCCCCCCCACGTCAAGGTTTGGCGCCGTGAAGGAGGAAGCTGCCGAGCCTTGAAGTCGTGGGGCTCAGCGTCCATGGAGATTAAACAACCCGTGTGACTAGCCTGGGTGTCACTCCCCTCGGGTCACACATGGAAACATCCTGACTTCCCTGCTCTTCTCCTGAATAGCCCTCTAAAACTGATATTTTTAGCAGCCAAGTGTCGTTTGGACAAAGGATGAAATCACCTTGTGATTTGTGATGTCAGCTGTGAGCATTCTGGTCTCCCCCTAGCCTTCTTCCTTTAATAAAAAATAAAAATTATAATCAGATTTTATGATTTGTCAGGGAACTATTTTTTATTTTTAGCAACTGGATCTAAAAGTTTTTAAAAACCCATATTATTCAAAACTATAATTGCTAAGAACAGAACAACTTTGAGTCATTGTAACAAATCCTTATTTTCCAGGTATTTAGTGAGGCAACCATAGTATAAGAAAAATCTGGTACTGGAACCTCCAAATGTAATTAATAATTTGCTGAAGGTTCAACATGAGTTGTAATGATGAGCTCATGGTTCTTTAATGAAATGAAAATTTCAACCACTGTTCACTAAAGCAAACGTCCACTTTAATTTAAGGGCCTCTGTTATGTACACCGCCAAAAGCCCGTTCTGTTTACGTGATGATTCGTATTCCAGTGTCCTGTTACAATTCTTATGACAATGTACTGAAATGAAGCAAGGGTTAATGTCAAA